GTGTGGGCATCCACTAGTGTAAATGCTGCCCCTCCATTCATCAGAAGTCACCCCTGTGTCAACCCCACCTGCCTTCCTCAGTCCAAGGTGAATAGCTGAAATGGAGGGAAGTTCACCCTCCTGACCAGGAGCCTGACACCACCCAGCCACACTGGAAGGTGTCAGCAAAGTGGTGGCAGCCTCCTTGGGATGCTTTAGTTTGCATCCAGGCCCCAAACGAGTCCCTTCTGTGATGAGCATGAGCCCAGTATTCCCACAATGACCCTGTGCAGGACAGGGCCTGAGAACAGGGCTAGGTTCCTCCAGCCATGAGGATGATGCCCTGCAGGGGACCCAAACACCCAAAACAGGGAGGGTCAAAGTCATAGACTCTGTGCTTTTAGCGATGCTCTCCACACACCTAAGGGTCCAGGGCCTTGGGTCCAGGTCCAGGGCCCTGGTCCATGCTCCCAGAGGAGGGACACAGCCCCTGCATGAACCCCTGATCCTCCGTCAGTTCTGATGGGTCTTCATGTGACAATGTCCCTCATTCCCTAGTGTCCCCAGGCCCACTGAAGACTGGGCATGAGCAGCAGATGACCTTGGGGTGAGGGGAGATCTCCTTCCTCTGAGCCTCAGGAGAGGTAGTCCCAGAGACTGGAACGAGCAGTTGGAGGGAAGGCAACCTCACTCGGAGCTGCTCAGTGGAGCTGGGCTTGGGGCTTACTGGACCCAGTGAGCATCCAGGACCTCTCAGACCACATACATCCTAGACCCTGGGCTGGCATGGATGGGACCATCATGTCCTTCCTCATCCATCGTGCCCTTGGAGGCTGCTGAGCCCTGATGACTGATTGATGCCTGTTTGGATATAATCAGAACTGGCCAGGCACGGTGGCTCACACCTGCAATCTCAGCACTCTGGAAGATTGTGGCAGGAGGACTGCTTGAGGCCAGCAATTCAAGACCACTCTGGGCAACATAGTGAGATTCCATCTCTCCAAAAATAAACATCATAATTTAAAAAGTAGTAGGCATGGTGCCATGTGCCTGTAGTCTCAGCTACAAGCAAGAGAATCACTTGAGCACAGGAGTTCAAGGCTGCAGTGAGCCATGATCTCACCACTGCACTCCAGCCTGGGCAACAGAACAAGACCTCATCTCTGCAAAAAGAGAAGGCCATGTGCAGATGGAGGCAGTGGCTGGAGTGACACAGCGGTAAGCGAATGAATGACAATTGCTGGCAAGAAGCAGAAGCTGAGAGGCAGGGAACAGGCCTTCTCTGGAGCCTCAGGAGTCAGCCCTTTGTGCCCCTCAAATGTGGGCTTCTGGCCTCCGGGGCTGGGACACCATGCGTTTCTGTCATCGTAAGCAACCCAGTCCCTGGCAGTTAGTTACAGATGCCCCAGGATGCTCAAGCAGCCATCTGACAAGGGCAAACTCCAAGGAAGGGATTCCCTCCTTATCTATGTTGTTTGAAGATTTTACAATAATTTACTCTTGTATGGCTAATTATTGTTAACCAACACGAATAAAATAGTAAAGAAATGACCTACATCTTCAGTTGGGAGTTTGGTCGGCAGCTTATGAAGTGTGGAATCTTGAACAAGGGTTAAACATCTGAACATCTCCATCACATCATCTGTAAAGTGGGGATGCTCACACCCACGGATCTTACCTCCCAGGTTGGCGCTGAACTCTCCCTGGGCCCCTGTTCTCTCACCAGCCACATCCACTCTTCCCCCAAAATGGCACTAGTGACTCTGATGGCTTTCCATTCCCACCACGTTTGTCTTTAACCCCAGCAGCATAACGATGTCAGCAGAACACAACTGAGTGTTCCTCTCCTCATGCCCCTTCAGGGGTTCCTCACCACCCACCAGATCAGGTGCAAGTTTCCAAGCCTTGCTGGATACCCTCCACATTCTGAGCTCCACCTGCCTTCCCATCCCCAGCCTTCCCCACTCCTGGTGGAAAAGAGCTGGGTGTGTGGGTGGTTTCTGAATGCTGAGCACGGCTTTTGCAGCCAGTCCACTCCTTACGCTGTCCCTATCAGGGTCTCCACCCTAAACCTTTCCACCCTGGAGCCTCCTCCCAGGGCCCCACAACAGAAGTGACTTCCCTGTCCTTTGAATTCTTATAGCACAAGGCCTGCTATCCCCCATTAAACTGCAAACTCCTTTTGTAGGAAAAAAATGTATTCGTTATTGTGCTATCACACTATCTTATGAAGAACAAATTGTCAATAAATATTTGCTGAATAAAAAAAATAACAGTTACAAAACGCTTGTTTTATATGGATTAATACTGGTTCTAAAACTGAGAAATTACCAACAGCACTGATATTCAGCCAGTACGCACAAGTCTGGGCACAGCAGTTGTAAAATACTGAAGTATCCACTGCCACTGACCCTTAGCATCCAGATGCCCCCCACTGCCACTTCCCTCCTCCCTGGAGTGTCTGGACCTCCCACAGGCTCCTAACTAAAGGGCTGACCACAGCCGGGAGCACCCCAAGACCCAGCAGCCACGTGGCCAGGTCCACTGGTGAAAGCATCCATCCTGACTGATCAGATCCTGCAGGGTTTCAGTGTTAAATATTTTGATAATATCCCTGAATATAAATAAGGCTCAATTATATAGTTGGAAAATGATGCTTCTCCTCATTGCAAAATCTCTTAGAAGACTCCGTAGATACAGGACAGAAGTGGAAAATGATAGTGTGTCCATCTCTGAAGGTTTCAGGCATATTCATTAGCTCTCTGTCTTCATGTAAACCAGAATATAGGCAGTTTCTTGCCAAAGAGATGAGAAGACACATCAGCACAACAGCATAAAACCTTCATCAGAAAAGGATGCCTCATTAATCCATGACATGACAAGAGTCAGCAAACATCCAGGCAGCTGGATCAAGCCTTTGTCTATCCATCACCTCGGATAAGAAAAAAATATATGGCCTGGGAAGATAAGCACTAAGTTTCTGTTGGTTAATATCTAAAGCAGAGGCTAACAAGCTCCACACAAGCCAAATTCAACCCTGTCAGGGTTTTTAAATAAACTTTCAACTTTTATGTCAGATTCAGCGGGAACATGTACAGGTTTGTCACAGGTGTGTGAGCATAGTACACAACAGTTAGTTTTTTGCCCCTCCCCCTCTTTCCCGTCCATCAGTTTCCAGTGTCTATTGCTGCCATCTTTAAGTCAATGAGTGCCCAGTGTCTAGCTCCCATTTGTGAGAATGTGCATTCTCTGATGAGACCGGTTCTTGCCCTGTCACCAGACGAGTGCACTGGCACAATAATAGCTCACTGCAGCCTCATACTCCTAGGTTCAAGTGATCCTCCTGCCTCAGCTTTAGCTTCCTGAGTAGCTGAGACTCCAGGTGTGTACCACCATGCTTAGCTACAACTTTTACTTTTTTTTTTGTAGAGATGGGTTTTGCTTTGTTGCCCAGGCTGGTCTTGACCTCCTGGCTTAAAGTGATTCTCCCCCCTCAGCCTCCCAAAGTACTGAAATTAAAAGCATGAGCCCATATCCAGCCTCCAAGCCCCTTCTCAGAAATAAATTTAACTGGACCCCAGCCATGCTCATTCGCCCATGTACTGTCTATGGCTGCTTTTACTCCACAAGGCAGAGTTAAGTGGCTGCAACAGACACTGTACAGACCACAAAGCCTGAAGTACTTTCTCTTCAGCCCTTTATAGAGGAAGGCTGCCAACCTCTGATCTCAATAACAGGGAAATCAATGGCAGTCACTAAGTGGCAGAGATTGAGTGTCTAAGAGGATGCTCAGGATAAACAGGAGAGAAAGATGAAAAGTAGAATGAAGATTTCAAATGTGAGCTTCACCTAACCCATTATTTTTCAAATGACCAGGCCTATCTCTGTAGCTGAAAATCACCTCAAATGGCGTTTCTGATATACAACCTAAAAGCTCAGCTAAGAAAACTTACAAAATCTCTCTGCTTAAACTTCATCCAGTCTTTTCTCTCCAGTTTCTCCTCTGTGGTCATTGGTTATAAACATATTGACACTTACTAATGCAAGCCAGACAAAGAAATCTGAAAAGTCATCCTTCCCTCAAAAGAGTTCAAAGTCTAATGTTATAAAAAGTTATGTAAGCAAACAATTTTAAAAACCAGTGGCTGGGCATGGTGGCTCATGCTTGCAATCCAAGCACTTTGGGAGGCTGAAATGGGCAGATGGCCCAGGATTTTGAGACCAGTCTGGCAATATAGCAAGACTTCATCTCTACAAACATTTTTTTAAAATATGCCAGGTGTAGTGGTGCATGCCTGTAGTCCCAGCTATTCAAAAGGCTGAGGTGGCAGGCTTGCCTGTGCTCAGGAGTTCAAAGCTGAAGTGAGCTATGAACACACCACAGTGCTCCAGCCTGGGCAACAAAGCCAGACCCCCATCTCTAAAAATTACATTTACAAAAACAATTGTGATCTTTGCTTTAATATTCCTAGCGTGTGATATGTGAGGCAAGCAGGGGAGTGGGGTGAGTGCCGAAGATGAGGTGGACAGTTAGTCATCAGTATGTCAGTAACAGGGGAATCCATGGACATTTCATGCAGCTCCAAGGACCCTATATGAGCTAATTGGGCTCCCATTATTCAAATATGTTTCTTACCAGTGGTAGTTAGGATTTTCATAGGTACACCAGATGTCTTCCCAAGACACCTGGAAGCCAGAAACAAATGGGGTCAAGCAGCCACCAGCTGATACTTGTGAGCACCCACAGAGGACAGAGAGCTATAATGTGCCCCCCATCCTCCAGACAAGCCCACCTCTTCCAACTCCCTAGAGCCTGGAGTATCAGTGGCAGGATGTCATGTGCAATGAAGTTTTTTAGCACCTTTGTCCCTGTGCTTAAACTCAGTCATGCTTATCCCAGAGGCCTAACTTACACGTTTCTAACTCTACTTGCTCTGTAAACATTTCCCACAAAGCATGAAGCCACAAGGCATGAGCCTCAAGCACCAAAAACTTAAGAAGTGAAGGGAAGTGAGGAGGAGAGGTGCAAACCACGTGGGGACTTCAGGCTGAAAAAGGCTTTAACTCTCATAAACAACACCACACCCAGACAGCGAGATCACGGTGTGTTGATCTCAGAGAACCACGCAGTCTGGATCCCAGCATTTGTTAGAGGTGGCCAATCCCAGGCAGGAGGCAACTGTGGATGATGATTCTCACTGAGGCAATATTGGAGTCATTGAAGCAGAACCATTTTCCGTCCACAGCATTCCGGATGTAGGCACAGTAATGACTGGAGTCCACCATTCCCACATGTGTAATTACAGTGAAGAGCTCATACTGCCCTCCAGGCTGGAAAGAGACAGGCATGAGACAGTTCACTTGCCACCACAAATATAACTGCATCACACATTTATACCTGCCCACCCCAGCCCTGATTATGGAACTTCAGAATACTAGACAACAGTCCCACCCCATGGCCCACATGCATCCTCTGGTAGGGGCTTTCCTGAGCATGGATCCTGAACTGCAAAGGCTCAGCAGCTTGACAGAGCAGAGCACACTGGAGATGGAAGGCAGGAGGTCATGAGACAGCCCCCAAAGCCAGGCAAGATTAGAACCTTCCCCTGGGAGGGGTGGGGGTCATCAGAACATAGTTCTGTTTCTCCACAAGCTCAGGAATGCCCTAACCTGAGCCAATGTTCACAGCCAAAAGTGTCCTTTGTAGGGGGAGGGAAGACAGAAGGCAAGAGCGGCACATGCAAAGCTGAGTCACCCACACTGCAGGCTCCAGTTATTCCCTACTTCTATTTGCGGACCTTGTGTGGGACTTCATAAAATGCAGGGCAATATCTGTACCTAACCATTAGTTTACAAGGAATAAAAGGGTTAGAGAAACATGCTGAATGACACCAGCCAGCCAGTTCTAGCATATTAAAAAAATCTTCAACCAAATCAACTGCAAGGAAAATAAAGGCAACAGAAATCTAAAAGGAACTTAAGAAAAGAGAGAAACTTAACCAAATGCAAGTGTAGGCATTGCTTGGATCTAGATCCAAAAAAACTACATAGATTAAAGAACAGTAGAGAAGTCTGCATGTTTACCAGTTATTTGATGCTATCGAGGAATGACAAGATGGAGCTGGTTATGTTTTGAGTGCTTATTCTTTAGGGATGCATAACGAAGTGTTTACCAATGACGTAGGATGGTGTCTGAGATTTTCTTCAAAAAAAATCCAGTACAGGATTGGATGAAACAAGATTCCAGAAGATTTATAGGAAGAGCAAGACCTGCCATGAGTTTTGTAATGGTTACAGCTGATGATTCACTGTCTAATTCTTCACTATACACCTTGGTATATATTTGCAATGTTCCGTAACAAAGTCTTTGTTGTTGTTGCAAAGACAGAGTCTCGCATTGTCCAGCTGGGCTCAAACTATTGGACTCAAGCAATCCTTTTAGCCTCTCAAAGAGCTAGGATTACAGGCGTGACCCATGGCACTCAGCCAAGAGAGTCCTTTTTAAGGAAAAAAAAAACAGTTTTACTTCATCAGGCAGAATGTGCAGGTAGAAATATAAAGAATTAGAAGGCTGTCTCTGAAAAAGAACATCCTATGAAATGTACACAGCCTAAGTAGGTAAAGAAACCATGTTATAATGGGAGCCATCTCAGGCCTTACTTTTCTAAATGCCATGGTTCTAGAGAAAAATTAGCCAAACAGACTATAAAAACAGAAGAGACACTCCAAAAGTAGACCCGCACATATAGGAATACAAATTTTGCTGTGTAGCATGTCAAATCTATGAAGAAAAGGTATCTGCATCTTTTTTTCTTTCATTTTTCCTGTTTTATTTTTAGAGACAGGATCTTGTGCTGTCACCCAGGCTGGAGTACAGTGACAGATCATCACTCACTGCAGCCTCAAACTCCTGGGATCAATTTTCCTACCTAGGCCTCCAATGTAGCTGGGACTACAGAGGTTTGCTACCACACCCAGCTATTTTTTTTTTTGAGATGGAGTCTCACTCTGTAGTTCAGGCTAGGCTGGAGTGCAATGGTGTGATCTTGGCTCACTGCCACCTCCACCTCTGAGGTCCTGGTTCAAGCAGTTCTCCTACCTCAGCCTCCCAAGTAGCTGGAATTACAGGCATGAGCCACCATGCCCAGCTAAATTTTGTATTTTTTAGTAGAGATGGGGTTTCACCATGTTGGCCAGTCTCTTCTTCAACTTCTGACCTCATGATCTGCCTGCCTCTGCCTCCCAAAGTACTCAGATTTCAGAGATGTGGGTCTCACTATGTTGCCCAGGCAGGTCTTGAACTCCTGGGCTCAAGTGATCCTCCTGCCTCAGCATTTTCAAGTGCTGGGATTACAGGCATGAGCCACATCACCTGGCCTGTGTCATTTTTTCTCAGAATCTCTCAATAGGTTGTCTCAGGACAAGTGATTTAAACTTTACTCTGATTAAATGTGGTCCAGTCAACTGGCTACTTTATGATTATCATCAAAGCAGGCACGGGCCATTTGAGAAAGAAAGTTTGGTTGGTACTAAGAACCCACAGTGACATGTTTGCCTATGCATTTCTATGTATTCCACATGTTATTTCCAAAGGAGCCTATTGAATTCTGGATTCTGTCCCTCAGTGCTGTGAGGCATATGAACACAAATCCAATATTTAGAAAGAAGAAAGTCAGGCAGGATGGCACGGTCGGAAGCATCCCACCTGCTCCTCAGCATCACAGAGCTCTCACTCCACTGGAAGCACCTGGATGAAATCCAGGCTCTGGGGGAAGTACAGGGCGTGGCAGATCTTTCTCACCTGTGAATTCCTGATGGGGAATGGCATGAGGTGGATTGTCAGGGTCTGAGGCAAATGGGTCAGCTTCAAGACCTGAAAAAGCAAAATCACTCTGGATATAAAGTCCACTTGGAATGGGAGTAAACGAAATGTCTGGACTAATGGTACCCTCTTCCAAAAAAAGAGGGAAGCAGGGTGACATCACAGAGTTCAAGGCTCTCGTTCACTGAATCTGCTGAGCTACTCTGAGAATGAGAATAATGCAAAATGTGGGTATTCTACCACCACCGGGTCCCCACAAGAGGCACAAGGGCACAGGGCTCTGCACAGGCACCAGGACCCAGGGAGCCATGGTGTCTGCTCCAAGGAGCTCAGCTCACCCAAAGGGAAATGCCCTGCTGGCTGCTCTCAGGCCTTCTCCTCTGGTCCCTCTCAGTTATGTGACCTGAGAAGCCACATCCATGGCTCTAGAGATCAGAACTCCACGATCCCAGATCCTAGCCAGACCCAGATTCCCATTCTCACCCACCACAAAGTCCCCTCGGGGCCTCTGATGATTCTATCAGGAAATCCACAAAAGGAAACCCCAGACTAGTGAAGGACAGTTGATCCCTGAACAGCACAGGTTTGGACTGTGTGGGTCCACTTAATACACAAATTGTTTTAAATAAATACAGTCTTCCCTCCGCCATAAGCATGAGTTCCACATCTGCAACCAAACACTCATTAAAAATACAGTATCCCAGATGCACAACCGCATAGATGAGGGACGGACTTTTCCTATATGTGGGTTCTGCAGGGCCGACTGGGGACTTGAGTATGTGCAGATTTTAGTAAATTCAGGGGTCCAGAACCAATCCCCTGTGTGCACCGAGGGACAGCTGAGTCCAGTTTAGGGAATGAGTACCTGTTTCCCATGTGTCTTCTTCCTGCAGTTCTCACAGAAGCACTTACTTTTGCTTGAAAACTCCCTGGGCTGGAAGAAGCAGTGCAGGGCGTCCTCCTGCCCCACCCAAGAGAAAAGGGAAAAGGCAGCATTGGCATTTCCCACCTAGAGTACTGTATTCATCTGTTCTCACACCGCTGTCAGAAAATAGCTGAGACTGCATAATTTATAAGAAAAGAGGTTTCATTGGCTCATGGTTCTGCAGGCTGACAGGAAGCATGGTGGCATCTGTTTCTGGGGAGGGCACAGAGAACTCCCAATCATGGCAGAAGGCCAAATGATAGGCATCTTACATAGGAGGGGCAGGTGCAAAGAGAGCAAGTGGGGAGCTGGAATGAAGTGGCATGATCTTGGCTCACTGCAACCTCCGCCTCCCAGTTTGAAGCGATTCTCCTGACTCAACCTTCTGAATAGCTGGGATTACAGTCTGCACCATCATGCTAAATTTTTGTTTTAGTAGAGATAGGATTTTATCATTTTGGCCAGGCTGGTTTTGAACTGCTGACCTCAGGTGATCCACTCACCTTGGCCTTCCAAATTGCTGGGATTACAGGTGAGCTATGGCACACTTTGCCTGGCTGCATACTTTTAAACAACGAGATCTCATGAGAAATCACTCGCTGTCACAGAGACAGTACCATGGGGGATGGTGGCAAACCATTCATGAGAAACCCTCCCCCATGATCCCATCTCCTCCCACCAGACCCTACTGCCAACATTGGGGATTACAACTGAACACGAGATTTTTGGGCAGGGACACAGACCAACAGTGTATCAGGGATGGCCTTCCCACACTTTGCAGCTGAGGGTTTCAGCTTTTCTTCTGGTTCTCTTCATATCCCCCTTAATGCCTGGCCTGGTGTGGTCCACTGGCAGGATCTCAAAGGTCACCTACTGACTGGAGGAATGAAACGGGAGGGGGTTCCTGTTACGGAACCAGTATGAGGAAAAAAGAGGTCGGAGGGAAAAAGATTTTTGCCAAAACAAAGGAGAACTCAGCCAGAATCATGAAAATGAAATAAGAAACTTCTCAGAAGCCAGGGCTAGATCCAAGAGGCAAGGGGGAATTGGCAACACTGTGCTGGGTGGTGATGTGGCTTGAGTGTTTGTCCTCCCCAAAAGGTTGAAACCGACTCCCCAGTGTGGCTGTATGAAAGGTGGGGTCTTTTAGAGATGATTGGGGAGGGCATGGTGGCTCATGCCTGTAACCCCAGCGCTTTGGGAGGCTGAGGCAGGCAGATCACTTAAGTCAGGAGTTTGAGACCAGTCTAGCCAACATGATAAAACCCTATCATGTTGGTATCATAGTGACACCTATCCTATCATGGGGAAACCCCAGCCCTTCTAAAAATACAAAACTTAGCAGGGTGTGGTGGCGGCACTGGTAATCCCAGGTACTCAGGAGGCCAAGGCAGAAGAATCACTTGAATATGGGAGATAGAGATTACAGGGAGCCAAGATCGCATCATACCACTCCAGCCTGGGTGACAGAGGAAGACTCTGTCTTCAGAGAAAGGGGGGTGGTCATTGAATCATGAGGGCACAGCCCACATGAATGAATTAATCCACTCATGGATTAATGGGTTTTCCTGGGAGTGGGACAGGTGGCTTCACAGGAAGAGGAAGAGAGACTTGAGCTGGCACATAAGCATGCTTGCTCCCTTGCCATGTGATGCCCTGCACTGACTTGCCTTGAGACTCAGAGTCCTCACCAGCAAGCAGGCCCTCACTAGGTGAAGCCCCTCTACCTTGACTTCCCAGCCTCCAGAACTGTAAGAAATACATTACCTACTCTCAGATATTGTGTTGTGTCAACAGAAAATGGACTAACATGTATGGGAGCAGCAAATACCAAGAGACTCTCCTTACCAATGTCTTCAGGGGCTTTGAGTCCACACTGAAAACAAAACTAGGAGGGTCAGCATGCTGCTGTTTCTCCTACTCTCCATGGCACAGTCAAGGTAAATCAAGGAGTCCTTCATCCAGATCACATATAGGGCCTGCAGCCTCCCCATCTGCAGGAGGTAGCAGCGGAGAGGTGAGATGGAAACACCACCATAAGCCAGGTCAGGCCAACTGCCAGAAGTTGGAGCCAAGAGACAGAATCTCCAGAAATGGTAACCACTAATGCTCTTTGTCCCACTCATGAGTTAAATCATCAGCATCTTACACTTTCAAGTGCTCTTACCAAGTGCACATCAGTCCTCTGGTCCTTAATTAGGTTCCAGATTTTGAGGTAGAGTTGGGCAGCACCATGCTGGACAAATACTGGCAAAAGAGAAAAGGAACAGCCAATTAGTGAGGTCCCCAGGGTCACTTCTCATGCCGTACCTAGATGCACACAAACACTCACCACTTTGTCTCTTCCTGGCCTCCCGCCCCACTGAAAGGCTAAGTTGGCACTACATATGAAGTGATCAATAAACAAACAGTAAGTTTGGTATTGATTTTAGAGAACACCTTTTTTTTTTTGAGAGTCTCACTCTGTCCAGGCTGGAGTACAGTGGCACAATCTCAGCTTGCTGCAAACTTCTCCCCCGGGTTCAAGTGATTCTCCTTTCTCAGCCACCTGAGTAGCTGAGATTACAGGTGCCTGTCACCATGCCTGGCAAATTTTGTGTTTTTAGTAGAGACGGGGTTTCAACATCTTGGCCAGGCTGGTCTTGAACTCCTGACCTCTTGATCCACCCCTGTCAGCCTCCCAAAGTGCTGGGATTACAGGCATGAGCCACCATGCCTGGCCGAGAACACTTCTTAAAACTTAAGCTCCAGTGCCAGGTGTAGTGGCTCATACCTATAATCCCAGCACTTTGGTAGCAAGGTGGGAGAATCGCTTGAACCCAGGAGTTTGAGACCAGCCTGGGCAACATAAGACTCCGTCTCTATAACAAATTTAAAAAATTCATTGAGCGTGGTGGTGCACACCTGTAGTCGGAGCTACTTGGGAGGCTGAGGCAGAGGCAGGAGGATCACTTGAGCCCAGGCTGTTGAGGCTACAGTGAGCTGTGCTTACACCACTGCACTCGGCCTGGGGAATGAGATGTTCACAGGGGACTTTGAACAGCACTGATGTATTCCTGAGGATCTAGAAGGCCACGCACATGCCCAAGATCTAAGAGGGCTGAATTCTTCCCCTCTGGCTGATCACAAGGCCATGTACAAGAAAGCAATGACAGTGAACACAGAATTATAAACTGTGTGCACTTTGAAATTGTGCCCTAACAAAACACACAGAGCCCCTTCACAAATATTGGAAGACTCACCGATTCAGGCATTTAAGGAAATCTCTGACCGCTTATTATCTGAACAGTAAGATAAAGGGAGGAGAGGTCAGTGGCCAGGCAATACATGGAATATAGACATCACAGAATTAGCTCAGGAAGTTGTCACTGAACAATGATCAACAACAAGAACAATAACAACAAAACAGCAACAACAACAAACCCTGGTGTGGGGTCTCTGGTGTCCAGTGTTGCCACCTTACGTTATCTATAATGTTCATTTTCCAACAGAGAGACAAGACATACAATGGAAACAGAAAAGTGTGGCCACACACAGGAAAACAGCAGTCAGTAGAACTTTTCACCTAGAAGCCCTAGGTGCTGGCCTTACTAAACAAAGACTTTAGCTGTTATAATATGTTCAAAGAACTAAGAAAACCATGTCAAAAGAAGTAAAAGTAAGAAAATGCTGTCTCGCCAAACGAAGAGTATCAATAAGAAAAAAACCATAGAAAAAGAACCAAGACATACAATGGAAACAGAAAAGTGTGGCCACACACAGGAAAACAGCAGTCAGTAGAACTTTTCACCTAGAAGCCCTAGGTGCTGGCCTTACTAAACAAAGACTTTAGCTGTTATAATATGTTCAAAGAACTAAGAAAAAACCATGTCAAAAGAAGTAAAAGTAAGAAAATGCTGTCTCGCCAAACGAAGAGTATCAATAAAGAAAAAAAACCATAGAAAAAGAACCAAGCAGAAATTCTTGAGTTGAGGAGTACCATAATGGAAATGAAAAATTTACCAGAGGAAGTCAACAGCAGATTAGAGCTGGTAAAAGAAAGAATCCATAGACTTGGAAATTGGTTGAGTGTGGTTATCCAGACTGAGAAGATGGAAGGAAAACTGAACGTAGTGTCCATGCAGCAAAAAGCTGGTTAGCTGCTCACCACAAGTAGAATTCAACTAACTCTGATACAAAAACAAGTGTAATACAAAAGAAGGTTTTATACAAAACATGAATTTATTCTGAAGCCAGCTTGGGGACAGAGTATGATGTATCCTGCCTTTTTCATGTGCCATTTCTCCTTTGGAGAGAAAGGGGCATTTTCATAAGGTGTGTTGTGGGGGTAGGGGGAGTGAGCAATGGTAGTTGTCTCCCAGGCAGTTACCTTGTACCTGGAAGCTGAGTTGCCACCTTTCTGGGCAGAAGTAAGCTGTCAAAGTGGCCAAGTGAGTGTGCTTTCTCCATGTGTTCCTAGTGGGTGAAAGGCTAACCCCTGAAGGGTTTCAAAACCACCCCATGGCAGGGAGAGCTCCCTGGTGGGTATGCTTTGGGCTGCAAATCTACTGCCAAGTCTCAGGAAAGATGAGCTGAAAGAACGTGCCCTGTTCTCAATCAAACCTCAATCAACCTATCTCTAAGTTTACAGATTCATTATTTTTCCCTGCAGGGACTGTCTGGTGAGGGAGAGGTAAAGGGTGATTTTTTGCATTTCTAAAGGGCTAACAGAAAAGGGGGAAACATGGGGGTTGGGGTTGGGAGGGAAGGGAGAAGTGAAAAGGAAATAACATAATAAAAATAAACTATCTCTAAGAAAATGGGAGTACTCAGTTTATACCCAGATGGTTCCCTAGTGATGATGGGTTCTACCCAAACATTTATGGGAAATTATACCAATTCCCTACATCTCTTCAGAAGACAAAAGCAGAGAGAACACTTACTAATTCTCTGAGGCCAGCATTATCCTAATACCAAGACCA